GTTTGAATCTGAAGGACACTTCTCACTCCTGTTCTCTCTCAGGTTCAGGACCCTCTCTTGCTGTGCCCAGTGGTTTTCCATGGTCTGTCCATGCAGACAACGCTGAGGCCAGGCCCTAAAACTGGCTCCATGCCTCAGCAGGTCTGCAGGCTCTTGTCAGGCATCCTGAGGAGCAGTGGGATGTGTCCTTATGGGGGCAGATGCAGCAGGAGACTGGAAGTGGAAATCCAAACTCCTCTTTATTTTCCCAGCCTGTTAGTGCAGAAAGAAAAAGGAATTTTCTTTTGGTTTTACCAAACCAAAGCATTTTTCTGATGTTACAGGACAGGCACTGTCCAGTTTCAATCTGAAGGACGATGGAGAATTTGGAACCCATCATGTCCTTTGTGCACAGCTGCTGTTGAGGATTCGAAGCTATGGGGCTTCACCCACACTGTGTAGGCTGCAGGCAGCAAGAAAAGAGCCTGGCATTCTCCTCAAATCATAACTGCCAAGGTGGGAATCACACGCAGAAGACTCAGCCCAGCATCCTCCTGCTTCCAGCTGCTGCCCCAGGGTGTTGCATCTCCCACAGATGACTTGTGCTGAGTCCCTTGGCACTGCCTGGATGATCCAGGGCTTCTCCACATGCCCAATAATCTAAGGGGGTGAACCCACTCAGTGTGATGATCTGAAATCCATTCAATTTAAATTTACCCATCAGTAATTAATTTAACCCATCAGCATGCCCAGATATAAATCCAGGTCTGAGATTCCTTACAGGACTAGATGCCTCCAACTCCTGCTTTTACTGTCTTGGCTACAAAAAGTATCAGGTTTTTCTGGAAAGTACGGTCTCTTACCATGTTTATACACAGGTTCCTACCTACTGGGTGCCTGAGCAATCCATAAGAGTCAATTTTCATGGCACTCAGCTCCAAAAAAGTGTCTGATTTCAACAAAGCACTTTCACCGTGGATGAAAAGGCATTAAAGGTGAGATGCTAGATAATTCAGGAGATCCTAAATCACAAACAAGAGGAACTTTATAATCTCAGATATTTGGCTGACTTGGTTCAATGTCTGCAGCACCTAAATATTTCACCAGTGGCTGGCTCCTTCCTTTATAAAAAAGTCACGAGGTGGCCTTGGCATGTTTTCTGTCTGACAGATGGCCACATCTCAATTAGCACTAACCTGTGCCCTTCCTCTCTACCTCCAAAGGCCAGTGCAAGGCAGCACAAAAAATGACACAGTTCCCTCTCTCTTGGAGGTGCCCGTGCTGGTCAAAGAGCCACCTTTTGGACAGGAAGGAACTGGTGCCAGAACTTGCTGTAAGACTTCCTGGAAGAATCCCAAAAAGTTCAAACACAGGAGCTGTATGCAGTGAGGCAAGGCACAGATGGCAAAAGAAAGGCAGTGCAGGTTTTTTCTGAGCCTCTGAGTCTCTCAGCTCCTGGACAAATGAGAAACTGGGCTGCTCTTGCTGAATTCAAGCAACTTGTCTAAGGCAAAGGAGATACAGACAACCCTTCCTAGGGATTGGAATATATAAAAAGACAGTGCTGTCCCACCTTTCCTAACAGGTCCCTCCAAATTAATTTAGCACCAGATGCAAAGACCTCCTTCATCCTCCTGGCAGATGATATCTAGCAGCCACTTCTGGTTTAATTAGGCAGACAGTGATTGTGTTTAGATTTTTCCTCTGTTGCAAGTAAGTATGCATATCCAGTTTATAAAGAAGAGTTCAAAGCAATGAAATATTTGATCTTGAGCTAAGCTACATCATTCACTCAGCCAAAAAATTGTATCTTTTGCTTGTCGATTTGCTGTGAATACAGAGTAAGAAAAAAACGTGCTCAGCCTGGCTTAATCCAAACTCTCATTTTTATTCTGGTTTCAGAACTACCAGCAAACAAATCATCATGAACCTCAGCACCCACACAGCTCAGCCATTCCAGCTAACCAATTTTTCTTTCTCAGAAAGTTAAAAGCACTCCTGGCTACGCCTTTGGGGTTGGATCCAATTACATAGAAAGATTCTTTTTGCCTTTGGCAAGAAAAAATTGCAGATTTTGGGCTACTTGCTGATTGCTCTGTTCCATCACTCTGAATTATAATCAAGCCACATATGGTTGAGACCATACCAATAATTCTGGTGCCAGGATTTTTGACTGACAGAACCCAGGAGACAAAAGCCCTGCACAACCTGGAGCACAGGGTCCTGGGGCCTTGTTGTGCCCTCTGAGTGATGAGCAGTTCTTTGGGTATTGTAGACCTGGAGGTTATTCTTTTTATTCTGGTTCATTACCACTGTAAATTCCAGCTCTCAGCCCTTCTGCAACACCTTCACCTTTCCATCCCCTCCATCTCCTTTAGCTAGGTGTGCACCACAGGAAGATTTAGCAGAAGGAGTGCAGTGAAAGATTTAAGCCGGGTTCTTCTGCTAGAAGAAGGAAGTTTCTCTGTGGTGATCCCGAAAATCTGGGCTCCATTCTTGTACGGAGAAGAGGCAGGAGGAGCAGCACCTGGTCTGTCCTCTGTCCTTCCCTCTCCGGTGATAGGTGGTGCTGCTGCTCTTCCTACAGCCCACCAACGCACTCGCAAGGCTCTGCCTTTCCACTTCCTCATTCCTGGTGTCCCGAGCATGCATCACATTATCCCAAATTCTGGCTTTGGGCAGCTGAGGACCACACTGAAACGTGACTCTCCCACGAGCATTTTAGCACCTCAGTGGATGCAGCAGTTTGGGATTCTCCTGAAGTCCTGGAATGCTGGCTAGACAAAGCAGTTCCTGCAGCACTGGGTGTGTGGCTCCCAGAGCAGGACTCTCTCCTGCTCTCACGCTGTGCTGGCTCCCATGTGGTTTGGTCCTGGGGCTTGCAGAGCAGCTCTGCCTCCAAGGACTCACCAGAGGGGACCAAAGATCAGGACGGAGTGAGTCCCCAGCCAGGTGCTGTTCCTTAGGGTGCTTCCACTGAAGGCAGTGGCCAATTGTTGGGTCAGCACTAGCCCTGTAACAGCCCTGCTCAGAGTGACCCGTGGGCTATGACTGCCCTGAAGCTACAGTGATATATGCCTGCAAAGTCTCATCCCTTCTTTGACTCCTACAAACCTCCATTTTGTAAGAAAAGCTGTACATGTCTGGTAATTTCTTCTTCCAGGCGGCATTTCCTTTTTGACGTCCTGCCTTGATGGCTCCCAAATCCCCAACTCCTCACAGGCAGAAATGAAGGACCATGGAGGCTCACAAGCCATCATGGGCTGTCCTGCTCCAACAGCCATCAGACCCAGGGAGGTGGACTTTCTTCCTCCCCACCTCTGCCCCTTTCAGATACCTCTTTGTGTTGATCCCTGTCAGTGCAGCACTTTGTGCTTCTGTCTGCACAGAAGCTTTCCTGCTGAGGTGCATCTCCATCAGCTTTGGAGAAAAGCACCTTTGGAAACAAAAAGAAAGGGTTGGTTACCACTGCTAGACACCTGACCCCACAAGTTCTTGCCACAAGAAGCTGTGAAATGTGCTGGCACAATGCATTAAGGATGCAGTGCACAGCCTGGTATTGAGGAGGACTCTCAGTGATGCTGCTGCACCTGAAGAGAATCCACCAAACCACAAACGAGCCTGCTGCAGTTCACCTGCCCCACCACAAGCCCCTTTCTGTTGCTATTTGAAAAACTTTCTCCAAAAATCAGCAGGGTACCAGAGAGCTGCAACTATTAAAATCAAATCAGGCATAGTCATCGGCTTTCCAGCAAAAGGAACACGACAATTTATGGCAAATGTAGTGTCATAGGAAAGTGGCATAATTAACAATAGTTAATTATGAGTTAATTAGTGTATTGGTAAATTCTTTGATGGTTTTGGGCAAGAGAAGAGGCTGATTTAAAAAAATGGGAGAAGTATGCTCTGGTCTGTAGCAAAGGTTGCAACTCCTGTCATTGTTGGATTGTGATTGCTCCTCTACTTAGATCTTCTTGGTTCTGCTGAAAATTTCAAGTAAACCAAATGAGATCAGATTTCCTCATGGACACAAAGTCCCATGGTCTTCACAGACTGAAGGAAGAATGTGCTTAGTTTAGTTCAGGGAGAATGGCAAACACAGAGGAACAGTGTTAGAGGAAACTATTACTTCCCTGATGTTACTGAATCTCACTTTGATAACATTATGGAAAAAAACCGATATTTTGGAAGTGTCAGAAGGAAACAAACTGCCTGGAAGCAAGAAAATTTGACTTGATGATCCAGAAATCCGTTCCCCAGTCCATTCTGCATAAATGATTTTTTTTTCTTTCAAAAAAAAAAATCCCAACAAATCTGTTTGGATTTCCCCCTATTTCATAAATACATTTGGTCACTGGAAAAATGAATTTCAGCAGGAGTTCACTATCCATCCAAACCAGCTGGTATCTCCAATCAGTAGCATTGATGACTGATGAATTTGTACTGTAGGAGCTGAAATACCTTTGGCTGCAAACCAACCCCCCTTAAAGTCATGTCCCTGTATAACCAGGATAGAAAGGCCTAAAAGTATTACTTGGTAAAGGCATAATGACAGTGATTTAGAGACTTCTATTCACAAGAAAATAAAGGTGAAAAACACTCTGGAGAATCAGGGTGATCATAATTTGGGACTATTTCTTTCTGCTGATTATGTATAAATTGTCTCCCAGTGCCTATTACATTAAGGAAGAAACTGTTTTCTCTAAGATACAAAACCTCCCTGCAGTCTGGATCAACTCAGCAATGAACAAAGGACCAGATATTTAGAAGGAGAGAAAAATCTTCTGTGAACACCATTAGGATATACTAAACACAAAGTGAGTTTGGAACACCAATAAAATTTTGTTGAAGAGCAGAAAACAGGGCTGGAGAAAAACCCTAAGATGGGATCAAGTTAGTTAACGTGCGTTTTTGAATCTTGAACATTCTCCTTCAGCAAAGATTTGCCATGCCTTCTTTTGGGACTGTGAATAACAAACGATAAGCAAGCAATGAGAGGCAAAAGCCATAACCTGGAGAGATGGAGGCAACAAAAATGCACCAGGGCTTTCCATCCTCGTGTCTCTCTCCCTGTAGAGGCAAAGGGAAGCAGTGATCTAAACAGAACATGTGATTTCCCAGCAGCATTTTGAGCCGGGGATGTTGAAGCATCTAGAAAGAAGTGGCGACAGAGAAGCTTTCAGGCAAATGACTTGGCTAGCAGGCCTGTTGGGAATGGGAAGAGGAGTGAATGAGCACGGCTTACCCCCGTTATGCAGGATTGTTAGGAAAGCGGGGAACACCCCTCAGTGCCCCGGGATGCAGCCCAAGTGCGCTGGTCACTGCGCTAAAAAATAAAACACAAACATTTAAAGTTCTCCAGAGCTGCTGGAGCTTCCCCACCGTGCTGGGGAGCTGTCCCGGGCTGCTGGCAGCGCTGGCGGCGGGGGAGCAGCGCTGGGTCCCGCCGCGGCAGGGCGAGGTGAGGGGCAGCCGGGCTGGGCCGAGGCTCGCTGAGCCCCGCTGTGTGGGGAGCAGAGCAGACCTGGCCGGGAGGAAGGCCTGGAGAGGAGGAGGAGGAGGAGGAGACGGAGGAGAAGGGGGTCATAGAAGGGAGGGTTTCGCCATACTCACCCGGGGCGGGGGTTACACACCGAGGGATGGGAGGCTGCTCCTGCTGCGCTGCAGGAGGAAAGTTGGCCGCGCTGCCGCGCAGGGCTCCAGCTCCTGCCTCTCTCACTCCGCCTGCCTCTCTCTCTCTCTCTCTTTCTCTCTCCCTCCCTCCCTCCTCCTTTCCCTCCTCCTCCTCCCGAGCCCACAGTGCCGCCGAGGCGGTGCAGGCGGCGCAGCCCCTTCTCCTGTGGCGCTGTGCAGCCCCGGGCCCGGTCCCCGCCGCCGCCCCCGCCGCGGGCATGCTGCCGGGCGGAGCGCCCGGGCGCTGAGCCGCCCCTCCGGCCGCGCCAGCGGGAGCTCCGCGCCGCGGGTCACCTTGCAGGGAGGTGAGTGACCCCCCCAGCCCACCCCGTCCGATCCCCTCCGGGCAGCGGTGCACCAAATGCCCGCTCCGCCGCACCCTCCGGAGCATCCTCCGGAGCGCGGAGCGCAGGCGGGGGCACCGCGGCTCCCGCAGCCGCCGCGGCCGAGGGGCTCCGGGGGGAGCGCAGGGAGGCGCGGGGACTGAGCGGGGCCGCCCGCAGAGGTGCTTCCCCGGTGCCCTGCGGAAAGCCCGGATCACCATGCCCGGTCTTGCCCGGCGGGGGCTGGGGGGAGAAGAGGCTTTTCCAGTGCGCGGCGAGATTGGGAACATTGGAAGGGAAAGTGCGCGCGGGGTTCTCCTTTTCCCTTCCCTCCTCTTCCCCGTGAGGAATCCCATCCAGCGCGCTGTGGCAGAGCAGCTTTTTCCCCCAGCTCCGCTCTGCCAGCCCAGGGAAGGTTGGCAGCGGAGATGCTGAGCTCCTGGCAGCCGCAGCTCCTGCCCCTTCCCCTCGCTATCCTGCTCCGGAGAGGCGCCGGGCTGAATTTCTTCTCCTTCCCATCCTCTAGTTTGAGAGCAGTGACAGCTGAGTTGGGGAAAGGGCTGGCTGAGGCAAGGAGGCAGCAGTGGTGGCTGCTGTCGGTGGCAGTGGGGTGACATTGGGGAAGTGCCCATCCTCCTGGATGGGGTATCACAGAAGCATCCCGCAAGGGGTCAGTTCTTCAGCAGGAAGAGGCTGGCAATGCGCTGAGACCTTTCTGGAATTGGCACTCCAGGAGCACAAGCCTTCCTGGAGCAGGATCGGTAGCCAGGAGTGTGCTGCAGGGGCAGAGGTGCCAGGGTCTGTGTGGGACTGGCCATGGTGGTGGTGGGGTATAACCCCCCATCCCTGGACAGAACATGGAGCAGGAGTGGCAGGAGTTGCTCCAGAGAGCAATCTGTTGAACTGTGCCTTCAAAATCACTGGAGGGGAGCTGTAGCCTCTGTGTGTAATGAAACAGAAAAAAAAAATAATTCCAAACTTTCCAGATAGATTAAATATTCAAATTGCAATTAATTAGATATTAATCTGGTGTAAACAGAGCATTAGCAACAATTAAAAGATGCTTTGATGGTCTTAAACTCAAGATGATGCATTAACTGGCACATTGAGGGGGATATTTGTGTATTCTAAAAAGCAGCCAGAACAGAGAATACACTTTCCTTCATTCATGTATTTAAATGACTTAGTTTTAATTATCATTAATTAACTGTCATCTTTAAAGTAGCTGCAAGTTGATGGTCTGTATTAATTTCAAATTACCTTGCTCCTAATACAAAGACTGATTTTACTGGACAAGGTGACATTTTATTGGCAGTTTTGGTAACTACAGATCATGCCAGGGTGTGTGTAGGATAAACTCATTTGTAGGAATTAAATGAAGTCTCCTCTCATTAGCTGGGCAGGCAGATGTCTCACACCACTGGAGCCACACACTCTGGAATAAATCTCACACACAGGGGAGGGCTCTCCTTATACAAATGCAGATGTAATGCAGTACTGGTGTACACAGGCACCACCACAACACATTTAACTTGAGGAAGGATGCTCTCAGGGTTTAGAACGCTTTTTCTTCCGAGGACAGTATTAGAGAAAATGTGCAGTGTGTTTGCATAAGGGGTTTTTTGTCTTTCTTTCTCTCTACAGCAAATTCATATCTGCAGACAGCTGTAAAATGCTTCCAGTAGAGTTATTTAATACTATCCATGTAGCTATTAAGATTGCAGATTACATCTGTGGTTATTAAGAGTCCAAATTTTGTTGTATTCACTTTGGAGACTCAAATTTTTACAGGTTGTGGTTTGTACGGTGCAATTGGGGGGAAGAAAAGGAAAATAACTGCAGAGGTGCACACAGGAGAAAAATACTCTGCGTGTACATTGGCTTTGCTTTGACAAACATGAGCAGTGTAAGTGTCGGAATACACATCCTCCAGCAGTCATGTCAGTTGTTTCTGAGTACCCTTTCTCTGGCAAAAAACCTGGAAACTACTTAGAGTAATAGGGTCACAGCAAAATGTTCCTCTTCAGATGGAGATGCCTGTGACCCCGAGGATTCACATGGAGCTGGTCTAACCTGTAGCACCTAAATCAAAATATTCTGTGATTTCAATTTGGTGCTGTAAAATCAGAAGAGTGACAAACTGGTTGTTGTCACTGCACAAGCAAAGACTGCATTTTGAAGCAGTGGTGCAGTGCATGAGTGGTGTGAGTCCATGCATGCCTTCAGCAGTGCCAGTTTTATACCTGGCATCCCTATGGATGTGTATTTGTACGTGTGTCCCTATAAAACCTGATTGTGTAAAGTTCCCTCATTTACCAGTAACTCTCCAAATCCATGCTGCATTTCTGCCCTTACACTTTGAGGCTTCACAGAGGCATGAGAAGAATGAACTGGCTGTTCACACACCAAGTTGGAATAATTCTGGCTGAATTTTGATGAGGTTTGTGTGCTTTGATTGACTGCTCAGATACCTTAAAAATCCCTAGGGAGAACAAAGAACTCTAAAATGGTATTTGCTAAAGGACAGAATCATCAAATGGTTTGGGTTGCAAGGGATATTAAGATTATGTAGTTCCAAACCCCCTGCCATGGACAGGGATACCTTCCACTAGCTCAGGTTGCTCGGGGCCCATCCAACCAGAAAACTTCCAGGGATGGGGCATAATCAAACAGTTCATCTTCTAGAGAAAGGACCTAGGAAAGACATCCAGCCTGGTGTCAGGTGCTGCAGGACAGCTGTGCTCAGTGTGCTGCTTCAGGACATCTCCCACAGCAGCTGTCCCCTACATGCAATGACTTACCCAGTCCTTCCCCATAGGGTGGTGTCCCCGTGTCACCCACACAGCTCCTATCTTGTGCTCTTTGCAACAGAACAATCTCCCTTCTTCCAGCTGCATGTGGCTCACAGGAGCATGGAGGCAAGGCTGTGATGTGGATGTGCTGCCAGCCCAAAGCCTGTGCCTCCCATACAGAAGTCCCTGAGGTCCTATATCCCTTGTCCTCCCAGAGAACAAAGAGGACAGCACTTTTCTTCATGTTCAGACAATGCCCTGACTCTAATAGGCATCAGCATTACTCATTTCCATTTTTGTTTCTGCAGGGAGGGGTCAGTGTAGGGTTAATAAAGGTCTGTAAAGGTCAAACTATGCCCCACTGATGCTGCTGCTTCATTTTCCCCTGCCTGCCCTCTCTGCCTGCAGCTACCACTCTCACCATGGCTAAATCACTTACTCTGTAAGGCTTTTGTCCCACAGTATAGTCCTGGCTCTGCAATTTTTCTGTCTTATGGAGCACAGCTGATTTTATGGCCCCAGAAGCGTCTGTTTACTCTAATCATCCTTGCACAGATGAACTGACTCTAGTAATTTTGCTCTGTTTTTCTAGCAAAGTGACTTACAGCCCTGGGGTGCTTTGCTTGGGACAGGAGGGACAGAAATTTCCATTTTGCACCAAGTCTGCACCAGCACACTGTCTTCCTATTCTGTCATCTCTATATTTTCCATCTGTGCTTCAGGAATACCTCAGGTCCAGCCTGGAGCACAGCACTGGGGGTTTACGTGCAGAGCAAGTGTGAGGAAGTGTCTTGTCCTGCTTTGCTTCCTGCATGCAGTGTGGGAAAGCAAGCAGAGCCAGATGAGCAGGCTGTGTGCAAGAACTGGGCTCTCTGGGGGCTTGGCTGCCCATCAGGAATGAGGCTGGAGTGAGTTAGCAGGGCCAGCCCTGGATCCACATTTGGGTGTTCCTGTCTCTGTCACAAACACAGTTAAATGGGAATTTAGGTCCAAGGGGAGGCACAGGATTCAGCCAGCAGGCAAACCAAGAGGGCCAGGGGATGTTGTGATGTTGGTATTCATGGGAGAGGCTTCCAACTTCTCTTTTGGAAGCTCTTAAAGTAAGAATTGCTCCTCATGGCTCAATCTCCCCAGTATGAAATAGGGAGTTTGAATATGATTCTCCTGGTCTTCAGTATTGGGGAGCCTCTTGAAAACACAGCAGGAAAAACACAGCCAGACTTTCTGACTGCTTTCACTCTGCAGAGGAATTGCCAGAAGTGGCACAGGTGTCAAGGTGTTTTTACCCTGGTGCCTTCCACAATAGCCAGGGTTATTTACACCAGAGCAAGATGCTCTTAGGCCAGTTATTTATTATCTGGAAAGTGCAGTGAATGAAAAAGTTGTGAGTTCAGACTGAACCCCACTAAGAATTAAGGCTGAAAATTCTGAGTTGTGAAGAATTGCTAGAAAAGTCTGAATGTGTCTTTTTTTTTTTTTTTAATTGGAGGCAACTTGAGGCATAGTGAATTAAAAGCCAGCTTGTTCAATTAAAAATAAATAAATGAAACATTGCATTTCATTTTAGCTTAGGCAAAATACTTCCATCTGCTCAAAAGGAAATACTTTGTTGTAGGAATAACATTATTATATATTAGGTCGATGCAAGGTAATTCCTCCTTTCTTCCCCACTCCATTCTTTAGTTCAGATACTGAATTAAGCAATCAATTATTCAGGCAGATATGCAGATGGTAATTGTTTTAACATATATCTCTGCACAGGCAATCAAGAGACCTGGATTTTATTTCCAGCTCTATCTTGACATGACCTTGGGCATTTCACCATTCTCCAAGTTCCTTGTTTTTAGGAGGACAGATCACATCTCACAGCAGATTTGCTGCATATTGGTAATACTAAAATAGCATGGAGGTCTTTTTAATTCCACTGTTAGCAATGAAACACTTAGCTATCACTAATGCATGCATTCCTAATTTTCCCAGTGTGAGTAAGTTGCACTGCCTTACGAAACTCCCTGTAGTTTACTTAATAGAGTAAAAGGAATTCCAGCTGCTGAAATACAGCATTCCCTTGAAACAAAACCTACTTTAATAAGCCCATCTAAATCAAAGAAGAAAAATACAAGCGGAAAAGGGTTTTTTTCCTTCATTTTGTTAAATATTTCACTTTGTAATCAGCACTCCAGATCCATACATTGTCTGTGATTTTTCTCTTGCATAAGGACTGTATTTGTTGTTGCAGTTTCTAAATGTCTGGAATGCCTCAGTCCATGCTGAATCTTACTGCATTGTGCTTTAGAAACTCCCTCTCACCTGAGAGCTCATGCCAGGAAATCTGCAATTTATGTGGGGCTTGACTGCTCTTCAAGAGAGCTTTCTCCCCCCTGCTTTCTCTGCTCTGGCAGAGGGGAAACCAGCTTCAAACCCAGGGGCATTTTGTTGAATCTGATAATCCTGGGGCTGAATCACCTTCTGCTGCTGGCACAAAGGGTCACTATTGCCACTTCTTGCCATTCTGGTGATTTAGAGTCACTGAGGGATTTGGGAGCAATACTTTTGGGGAGCATGGGAGACAGGTAGGAATCTGTAAGGATCAGAGGGATTCAAATAATGGGATAATCAAGTTAAAGGAATCTCAGGAGGTCTGCTGTTCTGTCTCATGCTCAGAGAGGTCAGCTCTGGGATCACACCATGATCCTCAGAGTTTCATTCAGCTGGGTCTTCAAAACCTGCAAGGGTGGAGACTGCAAATCCTCATTGGGCAGCTTTTCCCTGTGCTTGACTGTCTTCATGGAGAAAAGATTTCCGCTGATATCCAGCAGCCCCATGCAGAAGCACATGAGTTTTTGATGCTTTTTTCCTGGCTGATGACCTGCCAGATCTGCAGAGAATGGCAGAGGGTACAGCCTCAGGCTTTGACAGCAGATGGGGACTCTGCCTTCAGCCTCACTTGCCTTCATCTTCCAGTTTTCTTGCCAGTGAACCAGTCTGCTGGGCAGGTGATGCTTGGTCTGTGTGGATGAATGTCCTTCTGGTCTGCTGTGAGGAGGTGGCTGGGGCTGGTCAGCCATAGCCCAATGTTCCAACTCTACGGCTTGCTCAGAATTCAGGGGTTTGTATTCAGAGTTTCCCAACTGCACAGGACATTGGGTGCCTGGCAAGGGTCTCCAGAAGGCTTAAGCTGTGCAAAGTCCCATGGAGAGGAGGAAAACAGCATCCTGTCAGGTCCTGGGAGAGCGAAGGAGATTTGGCTGTAACAGAGCTGGCTTCTGCTCCTTGTCTGCTAGACACTGGGGCACTGCATTTAGCTGTTCTCTCCCTGCCCTCCCTATAGCTGGCATTTCTCTGTCTCACACCCTCTGCTTAATTAGTTTGTCAGGCACTGTCATCGTAGCAGGAGGCTGCAGAACACCCAGCAGAGCGTGGCTCTCAGTGCAGCTCCTCATTGTAGCTGGGCTCTGCTCTAACACGAGTGATAGCTTAATAAACCACAGCACTGCAGACTAGAGATCCTGGCACTGCTTGCAGCTTCTTATTAAAATAAGAAAGGAGGAGGGGGGAATTCAAGAAACTGGAAAGAGTGAAGGTTAAAGTAATTAATGGACTCACTTTTTATAGCAGACTGGGGTAAAAATGTCTAACCCCAAGGCAAACATTAGATTGCAGGTTGATATATTGATTATATATCTATCAATAGATAGATTGATTAATAACTTGAACTTGGCGTTTCCTTCTGGTTCCCATCTCAAGTATGAGTATTTCATACTCAAGTATGAAAATGCAGAATTATTTCTGGTTGGCCTCAGTGCCACTGAGTGATTTGTGGGACAATTAAAGCCATGCAAAGTCAGAAGAAATCTGAGTCCAACCAATTAAAATTAACTCTGCATCTTGGAGCAGACTGAAAAGCTTTTTTATTTCAAGAGCTCTGATGAATTTCATTCTCCTGTCAACATCATTCTGAAACCTCACCATGGTCATAGGTAATGAGAGCTTTTTTCTGCTTTGAATGTTGGCTTCCTGCAGAGGAGGCACCCTCCCTTCTCCTCAGGTGGTCTGTCAGAGGTTACCTGCTTTGGCACTGCCATCCAGGGATTCTGGGCTGCAGGGAACCTGGAAACGGAGCAATCTTAATTTTAGGACGTGCCTGTGAGTCACAGGCATGTGGGCCTGGCCCTGGCCATGTCCATGAAAGCTCCCTGTGAGGGTGGAGTGGCTGGATCCACGTCCAAGGAGTCCCTGCAGGCAGGACAAAGGCTCTGAGCCACTGCAGAGGCACAGGCGCCTTTTTCCCCTAAGCATCACCCTAAGTGACCATGTGCCACTCTCTGTCACAACTCCATCTCAACCTCTTCAGGAGTAATACTAATATAATTATTTCTTTCTCTTTTTTCCCTCTCTTAATGTATTATCTTGAAAAGGCCTGAGTCTCATCAGCCTCTTCCCATTAAGCAACTCTCTTGCAGGGCCAAGAACGTTGGGTCAGGCTCTGGTAAGGCAGGCAGCCAGCTACAGATTAAAAAGCACCTGGGGTTAAACCATTTACCTTGATTGCATGCTGCCATCCACATCTCCCTGCTCACCTTCCCTGGGGCATGCTGCCTGCCCTGCTGTGTGGGACTCCAGGGAGGATGTCCTGAGCAATGGACTATCCCTGTTACCAGAGGAGCTCTGTGAGGGAAGGATGCTCCCTGTCTTGTCTTCGCCTCATTTTGGATGTTTTTTCCCACTTTTTGCCCATGACCAAGGGGAAAGTGTCATTCAGAATCTGCAATATTGGTTTACAAGACTGGTTTAAATGCACAGAAGGTAAGAACCTGCCATATAGATGTTTAGATCCATGGTAGAGGCTGAGAAACAATGCAGCTCCAAATCATGCAATAAAACTGCCCTAAAATGGCATTTTCCTGAGTGCTACTTAAACCAGATTTTGCTGAAATGATGTGACCACAGGCAGGTGCAAGGCCTGACCCAAGCTTTCCAGCCATTGATGCAGTGACGGAGTGCTGACCTCTTCATACATTTCCCTAGGAGAACATTTGTTTTATTTGTGAGTCTTCCCCCAGTTTCTGCTACATCTGTGGCATACTCCTCCTGACCACTTCACTTTGCTTGTCAGGTGGCAGGAATGTGTGCAAGAGGGTTTGTAGTTTTTGGATGAAGTCCCTCTGGCTTCAGCAGGGTTGATGGTTGATGTTACACATCAGGGGGCCTCTTAAATTTTCAAGCCAGCTTGGGAGAAACTGAGCAAAGTCTGAGAATTTACTCTTCTGCCCATGGGGATTTACTTTCATACAGTTTCTTTGGGGGAGGTGGGAGGAGGAAGTGGAAGGTTTGTGGCCAAGCAGCTGGAGGCCCAGCAGGATGCTCCTGCTATCTGGATTGCACATGTAACTTCCATGGGATCCCACCATGGTGGAATTTCTCTTCTGTAGCTTTACTCCTGGTTCACTGAAGAGAACCACTGAACTGCCTGACAACACGAGAAAATGGGGCTTTTGCATGTTAAACCAAGTGCTGTGAATGTAAATATGTCAGCACTCTGGGTCAAGCTCTTGTGTATGTTGAACAAGTTTTTTGCTTAATTGGTAGTGTTAGAACAGCTCTTAGCAGTGGTTTAAATACCTCTTGCATCCAAAAGAGAGACTGAAGGGATTTGGAGTCTGGAGTTAAGAGGAAATAATGCTGGGCTTTTGCTAGACATTGCTGTGTTAGAGGTTGTCTGACATAAAAAGGAAATAGAGAGAAAGCGTTGAGTAAAAAAATTACATTTGTTTATGTATTGTTATGTATTGTATATGTATTCTTGGTTTCCTCCAGACAGCACAATGGGGACAGGTAATCCTGCATTAATAATTTGGTCTTAGGGAATATAATGTGGAGAATTTTGAAGTCAGTAGAATGTCTGTAATTTTTATGCTCATGCCCAGAAACAAACCCCTGAATTTAGAGTTCCTGTGGCCAATACATAAAGTATTTTAAAAGGCATTTTCCTTTGGCTACACCTGAGAAAAATCAGCAGCCTGGTGAGAAAGTGTTTGGGCTGGAAAAAATGGATTTTCAAAGGATAGTAAAGCACTTGCCAAGGGCAAGGGTGGCTGCAGACATTGACAGGTGAGCACAGCACCTGCCCATCTTTTGCAGTTGCAGATGTCTGAGAACTGAAAATGGTTCTTTCAGGAGATTTTTTTGGTTGTTGTTTTGATATTTTTTTGGTTTTTTTCCCATCTCTTATACAAAGTGTTTAGAGGAAAGGGATGTTGTTCCCAGGATGACAGCTGTGTACCTGTGGGAGGCTGGAGCAGGCACCAAAGCTATTCTTTGATGGGGTCCATCACTACCAAGGCATTTCACCTCATCTGTTTCCCTGCATGCCCTGGATGTGGGGCAGGTGTTCTTTGCCTCCCTGAGTGGGGCTGTATTTGGAGAACTAAATCAGGGTGTGCACAAACATGGGGCTCTGTTTTCTCTTGAGACTGTACAGAAGACAAGCTGACCTGAGTCCCTCAATTCATTGCCTTTGTCCTCACCTTCATTTCTGTTCCCTTTCTTCATCAGGAAAATGGGAGCCACTCACCCGGCGTGAGCTCTAAGGCACAGCAAAAGCAAGGCCACCGGTCCCATGCCTCAGACAGCTCCCAGTATGGATGGCTTGGTTGAGCAGAACAGCGTGCTGATGCACAGTAAGATCACTGAGGCTGGGAAAAGGAATGGCTTGATTAACACAAGGAACTTAGTGGCAGAGAGCCGAGATGGCCTGGTCTCCGTGTACCCCACCCCTCAGTACCAGAGCCACAGGGCGGGCAGCCTGTCCTCTCCCAGACGCCCGGAGAACGGCAGGAGTGACCCCGTGCAGCAGCTCCTGGACCCCAGCATGCTGCAGCAGACAGTGGAGTCTCACTACAGGCCCAACATCATCCTCTACTCCGAGAATGTGCTGCGCTCGTGGGGCGAGGGCCTGGGCTCGGAGTGCTGCGAGACCACCTTCATCGAGGAGCGCTCGCCCACCAAAGACAGCCTGGAGTACCCCGACAGCAAATTCATCGACCTCTCCGCCGACGACATCAAGATCCACACCCTCTCCTACGAGGTGGAGGAAGAGGAGGATTTCCAGGAACTAGAGGTCAGATGTCACTTGGGATACCTGGGGAAGGCTGGGAGGAGGAGGGCATGTTGGAAATTAAGTGTACACCCCCCTAGAGATGAACAGCAGGGGATCAGCTGCTTTTTGGGTCAGCTGTATCACTTTCTCCTCCAACTAGGACAATGAATGATTGCTCATCTTTATTTGTTGGGTAAGGTCCCAGATCTGTGGATACCGATGGCAAAATTCCCACTGGCCCTAATGGAGATCAGCATTTCCCTTCTGCCTCTGAAGGGGCTGGTCAGAAACAGAGGAAGACCCATGTGCTTAAATGCTGTTGGGGCTGGGAGCATCTGTCTATCTGCATGGAGCCCATCTTACTCAGCAGGCCAGCATCATCTCTTGCCTTCACCTGACTTGAGCAGAATGTTTTAAATTACTGGCTCAGACACAACACATTCCTGTCTCGGAATGAATGCAGAAACAGAAGTCTGTGGGTTTCAAGCTGCAGTGGATCCTTGTCTCTGAAATAAATGATATTTTTCTGCTGGAGCTAAACACTTTTTAGATCCAAATACAATGTTTTCTACAGGAGTCCCTTTCCTCATTGATTGCTCACTGTAAAGTAACAGGGAAGACTATGGGAACAACTTAGTTCTTTCTTAAATGATGCATTTTTAAAAAAATTTTATTTTAACCAGAGGCCCAAGTGTGGCAGGTGTAAAGTAACAGGGAAGACTATGGGAACAACTTAGTTCTTTCTTAAATTATGCATTTTAAAAAAAAAATTTATTTTAACCAGAGGCCCAAGGGTGGCAGAGATTTGTGTTTGCCAGTGTTTGTGGGAATGGAGGGTGAACATAATGCTGGTGATCTGAACACTTCCTCCACCATTGGTCAGAGACTCTTAATCTAGCAAAGACCCTCTGGCTGTCTAGAGCAAAGCTATGCCTTCAAACATGAATGTCACAGCTGAGATAGGGACACTGGTCGTGTTTCTCTGTTGCTGTGATTTTCGGTTAGGACCGAGATCCAACAAGCCCTAAAATTTCTATTTTCACCTCCTGTAATACCAGTGCCTCACCCTGTGATGAGCACAGGGGAAATCCAGCAAGAGCCTGACTTCCCTTTTATTCTCTTTTCTCTCAGTATGGGTAAGGTGGGAAGAGGGAAGTGTTTTTCGCAGTACGTGCCATTAATGCAGGATTCAATGCCTCCACAGGGAGACGGAAAGCTTCTCTCTGAAGCATGTGAGAGTATTAGCTCAAATCACACCCTTCCACAGAATTTCAGAATTGACCGTGGGAAGTATAATTTCCTTAATCAAAACAAAATTCCTGGTTGCTGTCTTTTTGCCCCAGTTTCCTCTCATGCAGTAGTGACACAAGTGACTGCAGCACACATGGTGTTATTGACACATCTGGCCTGACATTCAGGCAGCAAAAAAAAATAAAAAAATCTCCCTCTCATCAATTCAAGTCAAGAAGACATTCTTGAGTCAACTTTTGGAGAATGAGATAAAAAAAGGCTGGGAAAATGAGCAGCATAAGGAAAAAACCTCTTCAGAGTGGTACTGGAGGAACTTGATCAGCTTTTCACAGAGAACATTTGTGTCTTAGAAACCAGCTGTAGAACTTCATCCTCCCCTGATCTTAAGGGGAGAAATGAGACAGTAAATTTTGGTAACATGCTCTGACAGTGTGTGCATCCTTTTCCTTGGCTCCTTCTTCTTTCTGACCTGTTTCTCTGGAAACAGACCTGCTGAGATGAAAGGTGGCAGTTCTTGAATGAGTATAGAGCATCTGGAATCGCAGATTCCCTGTCTCATTTGAGTCTTTGGGGTGACGCTGTGCTCACAAACACAGGTGTGTGCACAACCATCTTGACCTCTGTGAACAAAGTGCTCAGAGTAAGATGTTCACAAAGTACACGACACTCCATGGATTGTCCTCTCCATCAAAATTTCTCCTCCACTAGGAAGAGGGGAGGAGAAAGCATGGTTTGGATAAGGACCTGGTTAGCTGGAAACATTTACTTGGCTAGAAGCCTCTGCTTTGAGAGCAGTGTCTGTCTCCATTGCTGTGCTCCCTGACCCACCCTGTGAAGCACTGAGATTTTCACACTCTTACATGAACTTTTCCCTGATCCCAAAGGATCAACCTGCTGAGCAGCTGTTTGCAGCTGTTTGCAGCAGAAGTAGCTGCTGGCAAGTATCTTCCATTCCAGGAAGGTCCAAATTCTGCAGATTCAGCTGGTCATGCAGGAGAGGAGAGATGAATTTGACAGCACCAGACCAGAAAAAAATGTGTCTGCTGTGTTGTGCTCTTCTGGTTCACAGAGGCTGGTGGACAGAGTCTGTGTCTGTGTCGCCAGATGTGTGAGGGCCTCCTGGGCTTGGCCAGAGCACAGCTTCATTAGAGACCTAAATTCATGTGTGGAGGAGACTCTAGGGATGGAAGAGCACTATTTAAGGACAAACAGCCACTGTGTAAAGTGATGAACCATGCCAGATTGTTAACTACACAAAAACAGCACCTGAATCACACAGCACAAGTGTGTCACACTAGAAAGAGGTTTTTTCCCTGCCAGTTATTGACAAGAAGCAAATGCTTTTTTACTTACTAATAGGTGGGATGGGAAAGAGTGAGTACCAGGACTGGGAGCAGAAGTGAGGAGGAACAGGGTGACACCACAAAGGTGCACATTTTGCTTTCCCACCATGAGAGTCCTAAAGGGTTTGAGTCTGCCACAGAGTGGCACAGGACATTGCTGTGTATCTTGTCACGTTCACTGTCAAGCCACAGCTCGTTGAGGCGTGGAAGCTGCAGAGTGTCAGAGCAGACCAGGGCTCATGTCTGCTTTGGCACTTCTTTCTGGGATAAAATTCTATCAACTAACCCCTATTTGGAAACATTGCAAGAGAACAGCTTTGTGCAGAAGAGGTCTTTTCTCCTGAAAACTGAGGGCTACCTCCTGATCTCCACATGTCAGTGCAAGGCAAGTGGAGTCCCAGCTTGAGCATCTCCATAAAATGCCTTCTGGAAGACACACCAGCCATAGGGTTGTGAGTCATTTCTCTTTCTCCATGTCTCCCTGGCGCTGCCTGCCTTATACCAGAATGCCTGCTTAGGGTTTTTCAAGATGGATATTTAATTTCTTAGAAATGCAAAAAAATTGATCTCCTCCCTTTGTAGTGTCCCCCCCACATCAATGCAAGACTCTCAGAGGAGGGACACAGGCAGAAAATAATTTTATTGCAGGTCAGACTGCTTCTAACATGATTGCCTTTTTGAAAAGAGTTGGGCTCTTGATAACCAGAAAGGTTGCTGTTCTCTGGCAGAAAACTCTGCAGTAGAGAAAGGTTCTGGAAAAACACAGCCATTTTGATAAATTCGGTTTTGGTTTGAAGAATTGACCAAGCCAAGCTTCAGGGTTTGCTTCTGTGTTAGCTGTCAGCCTCCTCAGGATGGGCCTGTCCAGCTCAACATGTCTTAGATGAGATGCTGGGAAGGAGACACCTTCTTGCCTTCCCAAGTCTGGGGACCCTGAAGAACGTGGGAGGTGCGACAGAGGAGCAGGAGACATCCTGATCATGGGTTGTACCCTGCAGCAACATTTCACCAACTTATTTGTAGGGAATTTTTACTAGCAGTGCTTCTCAACTCCTGGTGGAGTGTTGTTCAGTCTGCCTAAGAAAATCATAGTTTTCTGGAGGGGAAAACATCTCAGAAACAGCTCTCATTAGCATATAGAGCCCCGCTTTGCTCCAGCAATTTCCAGGCATGAAAACAGAAGGCTGCACATTCTGTCAGGGATTTAAACTTCTCTCTTCCATGCCCATCCCTGAAATCAAATGATTCCCTATTTAGGCATCTCTGTAAAATTTATAAATATCTTATGAGTTCTTTACGCCACAACTAATAGACAGACAACTTGTCAAATGTGGCGGCAGTGAAATATGAAATGAGTTACAAGATGAAATACCCTCCTGTTAAGAGTTCATGTGCCATCTTTTATCCAAAAATAGCATTTGTCATATTATACTCCTGCTAGTTTCCCTCCTAGCCACTAGGTAGATTGCTTATTTAGAGAAACCCAAGCTATTCATGGCAGCAAATTAAATTATTCATATACGTCGCATAAAAGAATACCTTGGAGCTCTCTCTTAAAACCCTCTTACTTTTTCCCAGCACCCAGCAATATCTGAAACAATCTCTAAAAGCACAATAAAATGAATGTTCTGGGAGTGAAAGAAGAAAAGAAATGCAGTGCTTTCAAGGTATAAATTTCTTTTTTTTTTTCCACTAGAAGTTGCTGGATTCTGTGGTGAAAACTCATCCTTTGGACCTGAGCATGCTATTGTAGAAATACAATTTGGATCCTATTCCATCCAATCACTCTTCTCAATGTTTCCAAGCACCTCCTGACACATTTTTTTCCACAACATGAAGAGAAGACCCTGAGGAGATTTATGCCCATCAAGCCCCGTGACATCACTCATGCTTTCTGTCAATGCTTCCAGCGTGTGGTCCTGCTCTGGGCTGTGTCCTCAGCCTCCCCTGGCTGTGGGTATCCAGAAGGCATGTTTGAACACTCCTTGGGGACTGTGTATGGTAGAGTTCCCTCTACAGAGTGCTCTGCAACCCAAAGACAGGGTCTTGCAGTCTGGTTTTACTGATGAGTTCACTGGCTGTCACAGGTCTCCCCTGAATTGGGTGTGCAGCTCTTTTCATGTTCTGCACCTGGGCAATGGAGGAAAACAGCGCCATAAATACCTTGCCCAAGCTCCTCTAAGGCTGTGTTGAGAATATGGAATTGTAATTTTCAGTGGTTTTGTCCCATGGCATATGCTCAGAAGAGCACAGGTGTGCTGTCAGAGGTGTGGTGCCCAGGCATGAGCTCCTAAGAGGAGTGGCACTCAGGCATGCAGTCACAGCACTGAGTCATCCTACCCACAGGACACACTTTATATCTCTGAGTTCCTTCAAAGGCACATTGTTAACAGATTACAAGAGTGATTACACTTTGCATTTGACTTATTTTTCTCCTTTGAAGGAGAAGCCACTCAAGTCTGGAGATACTGAGCCCTGCCAAGGGATATTAACCTCTATTAACCAGCTCCAGATGAAGGGAGCATGGCTGGGAAGTCACCTTCAGCAGTGTCCAAGTGCCCTCCTATGAATCTTGTTAACAGTAGCAATTCCCCTTCTCACACCATTTCCCTGAGTTTTCAGACTGAAGCTCTGCAGTGGTGTCTCTGGGATGCAGCCTGTGGGTGGCAGGAGCTCTGGAAGAGCTGCTTGCTGCCATTTGTAGAGGGTGGATATTTAGCACACTTCTTTGAGGACTGCTGTGTCAGCTGAGAAGCAAAAAGGGGACAATCATGAAGGGTCACAGCACTTGCCCCAGCTTGTTTTAGTGCAGGTATTTCATTGCTGTCTGCAGTGATCCCCTTTCCAGTGGCAATGTGCTGGATGCCAGTTCTTGAGGAGCTACAAGCAGGCTGGCTGAGGGTGCCCAGAAAGCATCACAAGGGAGGTGATCAAAGTCCAGGGATCAAGGAGGAAGGATAGGCCTGGGCAACTACATCCAGGGGGTTTTGCCCGTTGAGTTTTGGTGTTGCCAAGTTACATGTGAAAAGTTTTCCAAGCAAGGAGAGACCTCTGTGAGCCCATTCTGCAAGGCTGCCTGCCTGACTGACAGGGCAATTTTTAGACTGGGAGTTGGGGAAACAAGAGGAGCTGCAGCAGGTCAGTGTTAGGGGATTATGGATCCTTTAAATGCCTTTAAAACTGAAAGGCAATCTCAAAGTTGTATAAAGAAATAAATAGAAGAAAGTTGTATAAAGGAATAAATAAATAGACAGGCAAATTTAAATAAATAGCAGGCTTTAGAGACATCACCTCTTAAGAAGTTATCAGCAAGATAATTGTTATAATAAATAATAAATCAAGATAATAAATAATCATCCCCCTGCTGCTCAGGGATGAGTGAGTGTGTGGAGGCAGAGCACTGATAAAATACAGCCTTTGGCAGAAGAGTCTCCATCCAGCTGCTGCCTTCAGCACCTGCTGCATGGAGGTGAGCTCAAAAGACTTGCAGGAGAGCAGAAGGATGCAGAGTGCTGGACAGAACAGGTCATCATGTTTAACTACATTACGGGACCAGGCATTGTGTGGAGGGAAACAGAGCACATATTAACTTGGAGCAGCATTGTGTTGGTCTTTGTCAAACCAGACCACTGGACCATCTGGATTTGAAGGCAAATCCCACGGGGCCACATAAGGAATTAGTTTTGTATGCAGTGTGTGCATGCTGCTGAATTGGTTGCTTTGAAGGAAAAAAGGAAAAGGGCTGCTTCCTGAATATCCATCAGAGGTTGCTGGCAGCTGTAGTTCAGAGCAGACCCTGTTGTCTGACATCTCCAGTGTGCTTGGCAGGCTCTCTGCAGAGCAATTGTAATGTCTCAGTTGAGGTAAAGCTCATAGCTTTTAGGGGTAGCCAGCCTTGATTTAAGAAAAGGCTTTTTTTTTAAATAGAAAATCCATTACAACTGCAGAAAAGGGTTCATCACCATCTCTGTTAAAAATCTGCACCTTGTGTCTGCTCTTCCTCTATTCTTCTTTCAGTCACTTCAGCTTTTCTACAGAATGAAAGAGCTGCCTCTGATCAGAAATTATCTGTTCAGGCACTTATGGGCTGTGATGAAACTGTGTCTTAAATGCATCTTACAAATGGAGTTGGCTTCCCTTCTTTATTCCTTCCTGGGTAGATGTTTTTTGTGGCATTCTGCCTTCCAATGCCTGATTTCTCCAACAAACTTGGGAAATGGTGCCCGGGAAGGGAAGGGAAGGGAAGGGAAGGGGAAGGGAAGGGAAGGGAAGGGAAGGGAAGGGAACTCTAACTAATGAATATAATTCTGACTTCTCAACAAGAATAATATCCAGCTTCTTCAGTGTCAGGGTGCAGTTCTTGCAGGTCCAGGAATAAGTGAAGACAGAGAGCTAGGTAGCCAAATTATCAATGATCCCAATGTCAGGAGGGGTTCTGAATGGAGAAGATTTCTTAGTAAGCTCAGGATGAGGTGTCCTGTTGTGAGAGAGAATGTTGGGAAGGAAGGTTTGCTTGGGGAAAGGAGTGTTTAACTGGAAGAGTTGAGGTACCTTTTGCTGTTGGATTTCTTTCTGGGATTTCTGACTTTTTTTCACCCTTCTGGTTCACAGTTGGTCTGCATGGGCAGGACTTTATGATTAGAATTGTTCTCTCACACTTGGTAACTCCTAGGTGGGTCAATTTGGCCTTTGGGAAGCAGCATAACTGATAATTTTGTGATTCAGCACATGGCCAAAGTTACCTGAGAAATCTTTTCCCCATTTCATCTTCACGTGAAAGAAAAGGCAATTTGAAATATCAGAAAGGTGATCTCCACAGATACTATACCAGCACACAAAAACCTGAAAATCAAATACTTGAAAAATCAAAAGCATTTTTTGGTTTTGTATCTCACCTGTTCAGGTGAGTGCACAGTTTCAAGGGGTGGTTTCAGCAATACTGTGGATTTTCTCCCTCTCCTTCTCCTCCTTTATTTTTGAAAGGAAATATTCATCTGACTACAGAGCCCCTTCCTTTAGTGGGCTTCCTTTTCAGCTCCCTGTAGCGATATCTTTACATTTGTCTTTTCTTGCTTTCAAGCTCATGCAACAGTGATGGAGTCTGCGACGCAGTGGGTGAGGAAGAGTAGAGCTGCTGGCCACTGCTGTGGTGGAGGGGGAGAAGTGGGCAAATGATCCGGGGATTGGCTGATGGCAGAGGAAAAGCAATAATGTCATTAACCAGCACATCTGTGTTTCTCTTTTGCCGCTCCAGAGCGATTACTCAAGTGACACCGAGAGTGAAGACAACTTCCTGATGATGCCACCAAGGGATCATCTTGGCCTCACTGTGTTCTCCATGCTCTGCTGCTTCTGGCCACTGGGAATTGCTGCCTTTTACCTGTCCCATGAGGTAATGTTAAAACCTCTCCTGCCAGGCATTCTCGAGGGCAGTGGGAGGTGGTTCAAGGGGAAGGCATCTTCCCCACCTGGATGTGCCTCTGTGGTAGTGGTGGCTGCCTTTTGAGATACTTCACTGAGGGAGGTGTCTACAAATTATTTTAGCTTTTAGTTGGCAAATGTCAGGTTATATGTCCAGCTAAGAATCCTCTGTGGACATGGCTTTTTAATAGAAAACACCCTTGATAGCAAAAATGCTTGGCTTTCCCATTGGGAAAACAGTTCTACTTGTCCCAAGCTGATAATCTAGAATTTCCTTCCAGGAGTATAAAAATAATTTCTGTTCTGCAGATGTGAATTTGCTTTCCAGAAACCATTTCCTTTCCCACGGAAAAGGAAAAATTGCTCAGTCAGTTCTCCCTTTCAAATTTTAATATGCAAATATCTTTTTTAGCAAAGAAGTGACTGTGTTTTGGTTTGTTTTCTTCACGAGGCAGTCCTAACATTGCTTAACTCGCAATCACCTCGTGCCCATCATTTGTTTCGACAAGTATGTCTTCATAAGTGTCTGCAGTGTAATTACTGAGTTTCCCAGCATGGCAGATAATGTGAGGTGACAGAGAAGGCATCACACTGGCAGCCTCATCAGCGACTGCGAGGAAACATTTGATTATATTTCTCTCTAGTGCCTATTGCAAACTACAGTCGCTGCTCCACAGCACCCTTCACATTCACCCTCTCAGCTGTCTTTCTAATCTGCCTGCACTAAACATCTACCAGCCCTGCTGATTTGTCAGACTAGAGCAGGCTCTTCAGATCTGAAGAATCCTGCTCTTCAAGATCAAAAAACAAAAACTCAAAAAAGAGACAGAGAGCTACTTTTTGTTGTTGTTGTTGTTTTTTGTTTTTACTTCAAATGAACAGTCTGTCTTTGCTCCGGGAAGCCTCTGTGACAATTAGTAGTTGTCCTGTGGAAAATAACAAGATTTGATTGTTCGGGTTTTGATTGTTTGTGAGACAGTTTTATCTGAGCAAAGAAAGCACAGCATGGTCCAATAAATACAAAACCCCCAATGTAATTAATACTAAAAAGCAATATGGCTGAGAAGCTAAAGGTGCTGAGAACCAGTGTGCAAAGGCCAGTGCATCCAGCTGTGATTGCATCCCAGGGGCCAGCATGAGTGTGTAGTAACCTCTGTCTTCCATGGGAGAGTACAGAAGGTGGAAAAAGCATGAATACAGGGAAAAACGTTGGTACTGTGCTGAAGGATTTTGGCATTTGAAAACAAAAACTTGGGTGTTTTTTGGTTTAGTATATTGATGAAGAACAGATGAATGTGGATGCCTAAACTCAATTTTCAAATCTCTTGTAGAAAGATGGTCCAGCTTGTTCCCGTCCATCAGAGACACATCTCTCTGTCCTCTCCCCGAGCTCCCAGGGAGCTCCTTTCTCTCCCTGCCTTCCCATTCAGCAGGTCCATCACACCCCTGAGAAAGCATGTGGAAAAAGTGATTCTTCTGCAAAACCCCACATCCAACAAACTGGCATTTTCTGGGGGAAAAATGAAACCAACATTAAGCCCAAACCCCCCATGGCTGAGAACTTGCTGAGATAGTTGGTACAAACCACTAAAACCCTGCACCTTGCTAAGCTAATATTGACAGTGATATCAACTCATACTTGGACACATGAACCACCTATGTGATTTCTGTTTATATAGGTCATTGAACTTAAACTCCTTCATAACATTTGAGATCACTTGTTAATTCAAAAGAATAGTCCAGCTTTCCCCTTTATCAAAAGCTAGAGGTATAGCTAAAGATCAACTCTTGCTACTCATGATCAAACCTCTTTTTCTGCAGTTGCTTGAGCTCTTGAAAATTTTGTGTTTTCCAAAGTTTCCTGAGCAGTTGTACCAAAAAGGCCATCTGGGAATAAATCATAACACGTAGGAAATCCAGAGATGGGGGATGGGTTCTTTGATGCAGTATACAGCACTGGCAGTGAATTTTGTTTTAAAAATCTGGTCTGCTCTAGGTGTGGGACGCATTTGAAGATGAAGCCTTTGTTTGCAGCAGATGTATCTGCAGTACAGCTCATTCCACAGGCATAGGTGCTCTGTTTGTTCCTGCATCACCTGCCAGCACGCTTATGACGCATACGCCTGTGTCATGCTGCAAAACAATTACACAAGGCTGGATGCTGTAAGGCAGCAGAGGTGCTCCTTACCAACAGAATGATTGAATTTTGGGGGGTTTGTGCTCCATGAAAGCCAAGTTTCTCCTGCAGGTGATGTTTCTGCTCTGTGTGGGATCTGCTGTCTCCGCCAAGGCTCTTGCCAATGTGCTGCTGACCTGGGGCTTCTTGCAGAGCCTCTGCATTGAGGGGTGCAGCCGTGCAGGGTCTGCCTCTGTGGTGGCAGTGAAGATGTGCATCCACAGGTGAGCCAGCAGGGAGGAGCAGTGAATTCAGAAATGCAATTTATGAAAGCTCAGCATGTTTTTTTTTTTTTCCCATTGGGATATCCAGTTTTCCAGGCAGGATGTCGCCTGGTGATCTTATCCCAAGCAAAGCTGAGACTTGCTGCTTTTCATCTTCCCTCAGAAAAACACAGAGCTTTGAGGCCATCACTGTGCTGTCCACTTGTTCAGTTATTTTCTTCTGGTTTTATTTGTGTTTTCCTTCCCACAAGAGTCTTGCCACCACTTCCTCTAGCTGCCCAGTCCTGTGCTCCTCTCAGCTCCACTCTCAGGATGGGGCCCTGTGTCCTGTCTTCTCTCACATTTGCTTCTCCAGAATGAGTCATGTGAGTTTTTAGGCTTGCCATTTTTTGGATTGTCTCATTAGTCAACAGTTGAAGAGCTCAATCAAAGGACTTTTTTGTGCATTTTGTAAGGAAACTTTTGGAAAGAGGAAAATAAATTATGTCTTTCACCAAAAACTCTTCCCCAACAAGCAGTGTGTGATCAAAAACCCACCTCATTATGTTTATTTTTTCATAAATCTCCACCCTCTGGAGTCTTGCAGGTTCCTCAGTTTTTATTTCCAAAGATATTTTTAGCATTGTAGATTGTAGGCAAGTGTGAAGCCTCATAAATCAAAGAAAGAACTTTAAAAATATATCTTTTTTGTCTTGTCAAGTTTACCGTTGAACTTGTCAGATGATTTCTCAGGGGCTGTCAGGCTCTCTGCTTGGGCTGGGGGGTGGTGATAACAATCTTGAAAGGTCTTTTTGCATGAATCCTCTTTTTCTCCCTGCTTTTATTTTTAGGAAAGAGAGCAATACCATGTCACACGTTTCCCTCCCTACTGTAAACAGAAATTCATTATGAGAGGGCTGAGCCTTTGATGCTATGAATGAGCTTCACTTTGTGCCTGCTCCCTTATAGGCAGAAACAAGAGTGTGCACCCAACTCCCTTGAGCCTTCCTAGGACCTGTGCCACTCACCTGGACACACACCTGGAAGAAATCCCTCTGCACACTTCTCCACATGCTTAGGTTCTCAAATAGCCTCCACACCCTCCCTCCTCCCCAGCAGCAGGTGAGACCTGCCAGGCAGCAGACTGCACTGGGAGCACGAGGGAGCAATCACTTCCCTTCTGCTGCTCTGGCTCCCTGCTGTAATTACCTCCCTCGCAGGGGGATGCGGGGATGCAAAGCTTTGTAATTATTTGCTCGCATTGTCTCACTGGGTTAAAGGATTTTCTACAGTTTTCACAGGGAAACAAGGCCTACGTGAGCAGAAAAAAAAGAGTAGCTTGTCTTTCTTCCTGATAACTTCTGAAACATTTGGTTGCTTTTCATCCAGTTTTCAGAGACAGGGGCTTTAGGAAAATATCTGTATTCTGACATATTTCAGTAGTCGCTGGGGAGAAGGAAAGAAGGTTCATGTTCCCACTGCAAGGTAGAAAATAATACGAATTCTAGCTTTTTTCAGAGTTTCAGTGCTCAGCATACATGTGTGGATTTCACTGTCCTTGCTTTTCTGGCATAAGGTTTTGACATCCAACTTCAAAAGAAGAGGAGAGAGAAATACCAGCCAGGTGTTATCTGCTGTTTGTTCCTTAGAAATTTGGCTCATAGGCCCCATATCAACAGGGAGAACAATGAGACAGAACAGCAGTATGATGTGCCACACTCCACCACACTGGCTGGTGATGCCCTGCTCTTATCCATCCACCCTGCTTTTTTTCTTATCTGTCCCACTTTACTCCATAAAAAAATGAATATGGTCTATTATAAAGAGCTTGACACACAGCCAGGAGCGTGTGTTTGTACAGGGGATGCAGCAACCTCTTATATCAAAGAAGAAAAGGCAAAGGAAGAACAAGAAATGTGGTATTTTTCTTTACTTGGCAGTGACATGCCAAGATCTATACTTGCAGGATATGCTGGTCGGCACTGCTGAAGCAATGCTAGCACAGCAGACAGGAGGCTTTTGCATTTTCAAGAGATTTTTCCACACTGCATTATTTCTTGGTCCAAGTAATGCTTGAACAAAAGAGCTGTCTAAAGATGATGAGCTTTAATAAAAATAAAAGGCCTTTGTTTTGCTGTCTTGGACCAGATACCAAGTCACACCATTCTTTTGCTTAAGCAGGGCTGCTGCTTTGAGTCACAGAGATTGGGTAAAGGGCACTGGGTGTACTCTGGGGCTGCCCAGCCCAGTCTCTGCTGACTGTCACACAAAGGTTTGAGCTCTCTGTGCTGCTCGCTCAGAAAGCAAATCCCTGAGTTCTTTGTCCAGCTCTCTGCATGTGAGTACAGGCACACCCAGGTGCCCTTTTACCCTTCTGAACTGTTGTAATTTTTCTGCTGCAAAAGGTGATCTGTAAAACAATTAAACCCAGTTGTGCTAGGAATGAGTGAAAATAGTTTAAAAAGAGTTCCTCCTCACAAGGAACTGCCAGGGTCTTTTGTAGAAGTTGTCCTAGAGGAGCTCAGTGCTGCTGTCTTGCTGAGATGGCACAGTGCTGGCACTGTGGCTACTGTACTCACATGAGAGCCCTGG